TGATTTATTGTAGAGATGAAGTCTCACCAAGTTGCCCAGGTGGGTCTTGAACCCGCGGGCTCAGGCAATCCACTCACCTCAGCCTCCCAAGGCGTGCGATTACGGGCTGAGCCACCGAACCCGGCTACACAATGTATTTTTAAAAAAGCAACCTGTAACTATTAGGAATAAAAAAGTAGACAACATTACAAATGTAATGCATTAAAAGTAAAACAAGACTGAAACAACAGCTTTTAAACTTTCCACAAAGAAAACTCCAGACATAAATGGTTTTTCCAGGTACCACTTCCTTTTAAAGAACAAAATGGTTCTACTCTTATGCACAATATTCCAGAGTTTAGGGGAAAAAAAGAGAACACTTCCACTCCATTCTATGAGGCTGGCATAAATCCGAAACAGAAAAGGAAAATTGCTTAAGCATAGATCCAAAAACACCAAACAAAATAAAAAATGTCTCTGAAAATACTTAAGAGTGTGAGTCCATTCACAAACCACCATCAAACTTAGGAAATACATTCTTGAGAAAACAGGTTATAAGCAGTAAAATCCAGAGAGAAAAATCACAGGACAGGAAGATGCAGATTAGAAGCAGCGCACTTAACCCTTTGCACTCAGAGACAGCTCACAGATCACCTGCCAGCAACTCGACTGCACTTTTTTACGAAATAGTGAAAAACGACTCACTTCGTATTAAATAGCACAGCGTTGGAACCAAATGTGTGATGGACATGCATGCAGGTTCATTGACACATGGTATGCGATAGCAATTTGTTTGACGTCTCTCATATATCTCAGTATGCATTCCATCTCTTTATTTGCTTTTTCCACGCAATTTGAATGGAAAGCTTGAAGAAAACCTACGTTTTTGAAAAGTCTGCCAGGGCAATAAGTGCGTCCTGTATAATCACCAGCAATCTCTTTATGTTCCCCGAGAGGGGACATCCGAGTGCAAAGGGTTAATATCCTCTTTCTTGGCTTAGTTTGTAGGTTCACTTTTCTGTAGTCTTTTAAATGGTGTTTGTACACGACCTTACTTTTTGGGCATATATGTCCTATTTTCCAACGTAAAGGCGTTTGAAAGGAAAAAGACAAGCAGCACAAGGCAGTCCAATCCAATGCAAAATACTGACAGT